GGCCATGAAACTAGATAACTATGTTGCTTAAAACACCTTGAGAAGAGAGCAGGCTTGTGGGCATGGCCTTTTAGGAAGCACATTAACTTGATGAAGCTTAATTTTGGTTCCTCCAAGAATGATCTCTTTTCCCTACTTTTCGAGTCTTAGCTTTATGGAGGCTAGTGAGGTTCCTGGTATACACATAGGCGTTTTAGTTGGCACACTGCTTGATCCACTCCTCCTACAGATTGCGAAGGGTAACTTAAGATGCCCTTAAAAGCAGGACGACTTTAACGCTCCATAGAGTTCATTTTAATGGTACTTCATTTGTGACAGAAATTGTGTTAACCATAGTTTATAGCAAGTTGGGGCATAGATTTTTATGGAATTGTGTGACACTATTGTAGTCTGAATTTTATTGGTTTTTTTTACATAGTCTTAGGCAGAAGATTTTCCAAGGTTAAATGCTTAATATGCTTTTCACTAGGACCTGATAAAAAAGGACACCAGTTCTCATGTGTTTGTCTTCATGGTGACAGAAAACCTCATGAGAGAAAGCAAAACTTGGAAAGATTTAAGGTACTGATATATATAGTTGATTGTTTCCTTAATACTTAAGAGGGGCATTATATCTAGTTTTAAGTAGTTCTGGTTAATATTATTAAAGCAGTTATTGTCCTAGAAATTTCAAAATGTTTCTACCCTAACTAATGCATCATCATCATGACAGGGATTAGTGATTGTTGACACTCAAATGGTAAATTACACATTCTCTATCAGCACAACACTACTATAACAAGAATTTTCAATTTTAGAAATTTTAGTTAAATTATTTCAGGTAGCTATTTTTAGGAGAAGTATCATTGGATAGCTAAGCCATGTCTTTAAGCTTTAAAAATAGTCTCCAGCAATAGCCATAAGTAACTTAATTTGTAGATTAATTAAGACAGGTATCAGAACATGGTTATGTAGAATTAAAGTTATTTTGATACTATTTGGGGCAGACCTTTCCGATTATGTGCTTGCAGCACGTGAACGGGTCATACAGCTCTTGGTGTAGGTGGGTGGGGCTTGAGCCATTTAGAACTAAAGGTCAGTAACCTCTCTACATCCAAGCAGTCTCATTAATTTAATAGACCCCAGTGTATAGTACAAGTGTCATTTTCTAAGAAAAAAGATCGGAAGTATTGGGTTGAAGAACTTTGACTTATGTTTCCATGCTGGGCGTAATCGATGCAGACGTGAAAACACATCGCATGGCCTCGTTTGAATGTGTGCTACCCTTCTCGACCTTAGGCATTTTTCCGGACCATAAGTCAGTATACCCTTTTTCCACCCCCCAGATCTCTAATTTTGCTGTGCCTTGAGGCACAAATGACATCGAAAGGCTAATTTGTATTTTTTGGTGAGCACCAGGGGCCTACCCTCATTTTCCTCCCCTTGAGAATTTTGTCTGTTACAAAAAGTGTAGCCTCCAGGTATAATATCTAGTATTCTGGGTTTATTTGAATGTAAGAGTAAGATAATGCTTATGTCTGAACGTTGTGTTCTGTTTTATCTTTCTCTTCAATTTCTGAAGATATTTCTAAAGATTGAGCCAAGTTTTAGCAATGGTTTAATATCTTTGAGTAGAAAAAGAAAAGCAAAATGAACCCAATCTCTGATTTAATCACCTTAAATGTCATGTTTCAGCAGATCATGACATACAACTTCAAGACTTGGTCCAGTAAATTAGGAGTATGTGGACCTCTAATCCGATAGTAACACTTGAGTTTTTAGAGGTCTCATTTAGTGGAAGGATAGCATTTATTTTTATTGTTTAGTATATGTGCTAACAAACTCCTTTCTCTCTTCTCTGTTCCCTTTAGAAAGGAGATGTAAGATTCTTGATTTGCACAGATGTAGCTGCTAGAGGAATTGATATCCATGGTGTTCCTTATGGTAAAAAGCAACTTTTTATGCCTGCAGTGTGATTGTTATGGAATCTAAAGTAAAGCCTTCTAATATGTTTGAAAAATTTAGAAACTAATGGCAGTTGTTAATAATTGTTTTTATTTACAGTTATAAATGTCACTCTGCCCGATGAAAAGCAAAACTACGTACATCGAATTGGCAGAGTAGGAAGAGCTGAAAGGTACTTCTGTAATTTTTTCCTCCCCCATTTTTAAGCTTGTACGCTTTAGGAATAAAGTCTAATAGAATGCTTTTAACATCTTTCAGGATGGGTCTGGCAATTTCCCTGGTGGCAACAGAAAAAGAAAAGGTAATCTTTGTAGGGCTCTATTATATTCATTGTGTGTGTTATGATTTCAGATGTTGGAAATAAAAACAGTTTGATTTTCCCATTTAAATTTAATTCAGCTGCATGTGGAATACAAATGAACTTTTTAATGGCATTTTTTTCTGTATTCATTGAATGGACAAATAATAGGGTGAAATTTAGAAAGGAAAAATGCAAAACATAATTTTTCCTACTAGCTTTATTGTAGTCATTTCCACCAAAAACTATTTAAACATCTTCTGACTTGGTGCCATGGAAGACTTTTCATGGTGAGGGCAGATTTATTTTGATATAATTACTAATTTATAGAAAAGTTGTATTCATAAGGAGCTCCCATATACTCACTGCAAAAATTTACTAGTTGTACGTTTTGCGTTATTTGCTTTATTATTCTCTTATATAAAACATTTGAACTTATTTTTCTTTTGAACTTTATTTTTTATGTTAATCTTGACATAGTATGCTTCAATATTTACTTTTTCATCCTACTTTGAGAATTCCTTTTGATATCTGACACCCATTTTAGGAAAACTTTTGGATTATTCTCAAAAAGAACTTTTTCAGAAGACCTATTTATTTAATGAGCTACTGAATAGTAGTAGCCATTGGATGATATATCATACCTATAATCTATTTTTCTAGTGCCTTGAGGACAGAAAATACTTAAAAACAAATTTAGAATAAGATATTTAGTATGTCTTTATCTCCATGGCTGTTAATATTTTTTCCTTTTTAAATTTAGGTTTGGTACCACGTATGTAGCAGCCGTGGAAAAGGATGTTATAACACAAGACTCAAGGAAGATGGAGGCTGTACCATATGGTACAACGAGATGCAAGTAAGACTTGGAGTCAGGCTCACAAATAATGTATTAAAATGGTAAAATAGACAGCATTTATCTTCAAAAATTATATCTGGAAATTTTCTCTCCCTTACTTAGTTACTATCTGAGATAGAAGAACACCTGAACTGTACCATTTCTCAGGTTGAGCCGGATATAAAGGTACCAGTGGATGAATTTGATGGGAAAGTTACCTACGGTCAAAAAAGGGCTGCTGGTGGTAAGCTTTGAATTATTTTAAATACTATTTTAAATGTAAATGTACCTGTTTTGAACTTCAGTTTGGGAAGGCAGTAATTTCATTTCATTAGGTTAAGAGTATATCTTTAACATGTTAATCGTTCCCTTGTTACCCTCATAGTACTTTGTCCATACCTGCCTTGTAGCATTTTTTAATTGTGTCATCTTTATGTGAATGAAAGACTTCAGCTTAGCTCTTTCTCTTGAAGTGTTAATAAGAGTAGTTGAACATTTTGTGGAATTATTAGGAAACAAGAGCATAATAGGTGATTTTGAACAAGGAATTAGAAGCCTTTGACTTACTTCAGGTGGTAATTCAGCATATTATTTCCTCTGCCTGGGATGCCCTTTTGTTAGCTTGTTCCTGAAAAATTTTAAGACTGAGGCCTAACTAGTTGTTTCCAAGCCAAGGGTGGGTAGGGGTATTGGGACAGCTGTTAGTGAGGCCTAATTATTTATTTATATTGAAATAATTGATTTAACATTTTTTAAAGTCAAAGTTCTGGAGATAACTTGCCCAGTAGTACATTTTATTGCTACAAGCAATGTTTAAAGTGATATAATTGAGCCAAAGTATTGCTGACAAGTTATTTCAAGCATGTCATTTACATTACTCTGTTATTTGTGTGTGATGCAGGTGGAAGCTATAAAGGCCATGTGGATATTTTGGCACCTACTGTTCAAGAGTTGGCTGCCCTTGAAAAGGAGGCGCAGACATCTTTCCTGCATCTTGGCTACCTTCCTAACCAGCTGTTCAGAACCTTCTGATTTTTACATTTACTGAATAAGGTTTGAGTAATGAAAGTCTGTAGTCTTAAAACTCTAAAACAGTTGTGCTGCTTCCAAGCAGCAGTATTTATAGTAACGTAAGCTATTAATGCATGTCAGGGAACATTAGTCTTAGGAATTCTTCAAAAAATGGCATCCCAGTGAAAATAAATTTGATGACTATATTTTCATGAAGGTTTGTGTCTTATTTTAAAGTTATATTGATACATTTTTTTTCTATTTCTTTTTTAAGAACAGTATGGGCTTATGAAGTACAATTTATGGGTATGTGAATCTGGCAGAGGACTTACATGGAACCACTAGGGAATATTCTAAAAGTAGGTTTTCAGATGGTTAAGGTTGTCTATGTGTATATTGAAGCTAGAGGAGAGTTGGAACATGAAGGAAAATTGGATGATCCCAACGTAGAAGAACTGCTTGTTAGTTTGGAAGCTTGCAAGTTTTGAGGGAGTCAGTAAAGGTTCTGTGTCTAAGGATTGATGACTGATGTGATGGTGACAGTGAAGATGTATCTTCTTTTTATGAACCTTTCTTTCCAGATGATGCATACCCATTGAAGTAGAACTAATCTGCTGTCCCTCCAGGTCTTAAAATCAAACTCAAACTCAGTTTGTTTGTTTGTTTATTTTATTTTATTATTTTAATTTTATTTTTCATTTTTTATTTTTATTTTTATTTTTTTGAGACGGGGTCTTGCTTTGTCACCTAGGCTGGAGTCCAGTGGTGTGAACACAGCTCACTGCAACCTCAACCTCCCAGGCTCAAGCAATCCTCTTGCCTCAGCCCCCCAGGTAGCTGGGACTACAGGCACACACCACCATGCCCGGCTAATTTTTTTGTATTTCTTTTGTAGAGACAGGGTTTCACCATGTTGCCCAGGGTGCTCTCGAACTCCTGAGCTCAAGTGATCTACTCACCTTGGCCTCTGAAAGTGCGGGGATTATAGACATCAGCCACCATGCCTGGCCCAGGAATATATTTTCTTAAACACTGGCTCTTGCCTAAAATATCAGAAGGAAAGGGGAAAATGTAAATACATATAATTGAATTGTTCCTTTGTGCCTTTTGACTCTTAGTCTATAAGGTAGTTTTTTGGGGAAAATTATTCTTGTCCGAGAGTTTCCTTAAGAGCACAGGGTGTTATAATTTCTTATACAGTGGTTTTCAAACCTTTTAGCGTTGAAAAACCTTGAGTGAAACAATATATAAACATAAAAGCTGTAGTGAGAAAATCATTATCTCGTGTATTTGAGTTTATAGTTTGTGTGAAATGATTATGAGGATACCATGCTTTCACTTATCTCTAGACCACTTGCTTTGGAGATGTCCTAGAATTTCTATAACCAATCTCAGAGCTATGTGATGACTGCTCTGTGCAGTCTTCACACATTAATCACTGGTTTAGAAATTAACTTTTAATTGATGTGATAGCAAAGACAAGACTGAATTTCAGACATTTCAATGTTAGAACGGAGGGGATCTTTCTAATCACCTTGTTCATGCCCTTGTTTTATGAGAGAAAGCTGAGTTTAGAGGAACGCACATTCGCATGGCCTGGTAGGCAGAACTGGAAATAGAACTTGCGTTTCTTCAGTTTCAGCTTTTACTCTTTGGGCTGGCTACCTTTGGAGGATGACTCTCAGGTCCAGATTGCGAGGCCAGAGAGGAATGCTGGATAGAGCTTAGCAATGGTAAGGATGTTGTTTTTTCTCTTTAATTACTTACTGTTCAACTGGAATTACCCAGGGAACAAGAGTTTTCAAAGGAAGAAACCACATGTAACCAGACCAGCAGGGGAGTTGCTTGGAGATCTGACTTGCTCTTTTTTCCTACTCATATCACCATTAATTCTTCCCTTTACTCTTAGTCTTGCTTCCAGATGCTAATTCCTTCAGGTCATCGTATTAATGCCAAGAATGCAAGTAACTGTTAAAAGTCGGGTTAAGACGTGGTCACTGGGCCTGAAAGATGCTAATTGCCTGCCTCCTTCAGGACTGCCTTTCCCAGGTTCTGGTTACAACAGCGTACGATTCAAAATGATGTGTACAACTTCTGGGCCTTGTCCTGCCCACCCTGTCCCTGTTCTCTCAGACTGGAACTTGAATGTGGTATTAGTGAGCCTATTGCCACCATTAGAAAAGTGTAATACTTGGGGAATGGCAGAACAAGACAGAGGAACCTGGTGGCCTTGGGAAAGACAGATGCCCACCCTCTCCAAACTGCCCATTATAATAACTTGATGTTATCTGAGCTGCTCATGTTTAGGGCTCTTTGTTACAGAACTTTAGCCTCTACCCCAACTAATATATAAAACAGTAGAGGCCCTTCAAAGTCCAGAAAATGCTAAATATTAACCTTCATATGATAGTATTTGTGATTCAGAGCTTCCACTTGTCCATTCTTTAGTGTAGGAATTTTTAAGTGTACTCACAGATCTGGTGTCTGTAGTTGTATGTCAGTCTTAGAACTTCTGTAAACAGAAATGTCAAGACTTGCCCCAACTTCAACACATAATAGACATGGCTTGAGATCTTAGGAGCCTCGGCGCATTCCTTCTTACTCACAATCTAGTCTTTCCCTGCTCACTCTCTTCAAAGCTACCTTCAAGCTTTGATTGCTAGAACTTGACTTTCATAGTGACTGAAGTGGTTTAGGGGAAAGGCTGTTTCAAATCTTAATAAACTGAAGTGTTCTGCTCTAACTCAGGTTTATGTCTTTATTACTAATTTGAGTCCCTTACTAGGACAGACTCATTTAAGCACAAGTTATATTTCATTTAAGAGAGCATAGAAAACCAAATAAAGGGACCAAATGCTTTCATTGCCTCAGGATGTTTGCCTTAAGATAATTGATTCTAAAGGATTCTAACTAGTGGTCTTAGTTATGAGATTGCTAAAACCTTTCTGTACCTCGTTCTTTTTTTTTCTTTTGTTTTGTTTTTTGAGATAGGGTCTCACTCTGTTGCCCAGACTGGAATGCAGTGGCATGATCTCAGCTCACTGCAATTTCTGCCTCCTGGCCTCAAGCTATCCTCCCACCTCAGCCTCCTGAGTAGCTGGGACTACAGGCATGCACCACCACGCGTGGCTAATTTATACCTCATTCTTAACATATCTTTTCCTGTTAGATACGTGGAAATTTCAGACTAGAGTAATCCCCACTCCTCCTTACTTTTTATTTATCGTCCGACTTCCAGAGAAAGTCATCGCTAACATTTTGGTTCATTTCTTTTTTCTGTAAATGTTTTGGTCTATGTATGATTCTGTATTTTTATTTAATATAAGCATTTTTCTTATAAATACTTTAGTGGCTACGTAATGCACTGAATGTACTATTATTTGTGGAACCATTGCACTCTTACTACTCATGAGCATTGAGGGGAGCTGGAAAGGATGTGAACTTTATAATATTAGTCTTGGATTTGAATCTGGCTCTAACTCATACTAGAAATACGACAGAAGGCAAGGTCCGTTAAGCTTTGATTTCTTTATGAAAACGGTGAAGATAATTCACATCATTCAGGATCATGTTCCGCATTCAGCAAAATATCTAGTAGATGAGGGGGCTATGTGTACTGTATAGTTACATTTTTTGTGTTACACAGAATAAACATCTTCTGTCTTTTGAAATATCTTAAACTAGATTCCTAGAAATTGGATTATTGAATTAAAGAGTCTGAATGTTATGAACATTTTTCAGAGTCATCATATTGCTTTCTGAAAGGGTTGAGCTGGGTGACGTTAACACTAACAATATAGGAAGAAGGCTGTACAATTTATTTTACAAACTGAAATAAGCTTGTTGCGCTCACAGTTTACTTTCCTGATGTCTCTTCATATGGTGTGTCAATTAGTGTGGTGAGTAGAGGTAGTCTCACATCTTACATGCAACTTCTTGCCTCCCATGGGCTCCCACTCCTGGTCCCACCATCATCAGATAAACAGGGACCTAGACTAGACTTGTTTTAAATAAGGTTGCAGGCTTTTTTTTTTTTTTTTTTTTTTCCATTTCCCAATTTTTGTCTTTAAAGGTAGAAGTGCATGTGGCAATGACTGTGAACTGCCCAGATTAAAAAAAAAAAAAAAAGAATCTTGGTTCCTGGCCAATTCCAAATGGGCAAAGCTATTTAATCGCATTCCTCTCCTTGTTCTGACTTAAACGGGAACTACACACTTTATTTCATTTGAATGAGAAGTGTAAAATATCAAAAAAATATAGATAAATATCAAATGAGATCCCTGGTAGGTTCTCTTGCAGTAATTTTATCATTTCTCTATAGATGTGGACAGTTTCTAAAGTACTACCAGGAATTTTTTCTAAGTGACCTTATTTGGGAGGAAAAAGGAATGTGTGTCAGAAGGGAAAAAATGTAGTGGAACAGGAAGGAAAGGGAGGGATGCTATTTTGCTACTCCAAAGTAATTGATAGAGGATTCCTTTGGAGGGAGGAGTGGAGGGGGAATTTTTGCAGTTGTTTTCCATTCTACTGCTTTAAATCATTACCTTTCATTTAAACTCATTTAAATGTCTACTGTTTTCTGATAGATTCCACTCTTTCTGGTCAAAAGTATTGAGAGAAATTTGAAAGACAAGTCATCAGGTAGGCCTGGATTTGATCCTGACAATAGTTACTGACTTCTAGAGCTAAATCGCATGCAGAGATCATTAGGTAGAAGGTGGGAACCAGGAATCTGCATTTTAACACATTCCTCAAATAATTGTGCTCATGCAGATGGACCTTGAACCACAATTCAAGACACACTGTTACAGAGAAATGACTCTTAGAGCTTTTATTCTCACTGCAATCTTTTACTTGAGGATTTGGATAAGATCGAAAATGACATCTGAAAGACAGATGCTTGCTGTGTTAGAATCATGTCTCCTAGTCCACTGCCTTTGGACCCAAGATGTCCACCTCGAGTTCTGCTCCCTTAGCTTAGTGGTTCTCAACCCCAGCTGCACATTAAGGTCACCTAGGGTACTTTCAGAGAAAATACCAGTGTCTGCACTTCACCTCCAGAAATTCTGACTTAATTGTTCTGGAGTGGGGCCTAGGTGGCCTCAGTGATGTTAATGTGCTTCCAGGCTTGGGAGCAGCTGCCTTAAACTGAGTCTGACTCTAGATGTTTCTTAGTCCTGTTGCAAATCCCTGCGTCCTCTGCACTCACCCAAGCTAATGTGTCTTAAGGTTACATATAGTTAGACTCAAGCCGGAGCCCTTGCTGAAATATTATGTTGTGAGGATTATTATAGAGAAATGATAGAAATTGTAACATATTTCAAGAAACTGGTAAGATTACCCACCACCTGTAGCCTACTCAGAGGCTACTCACCTGTAGCCAAGTGAGTTTAATTCCCTTCAAAATAGTCGTTTTGGGGGTTGAGGCAAGTCTTTTTAAGGATGTTTCCATTTTTCAAAATCCGTTTGGCCTTTTCTCTTTTTGTTTTAGACGTTGCTACTTTGTTTTTATTTAAAGCATAGCCATTGCTTTAGACAGGACCAGTTTATACTCTAAAAATCACTGGTTTAACCCAGTATTTTACCTCACATCTTGTTCTCCAGCTGGGTAACTCATTCTGTTCACCAGAAAAGACTCTGGTTGGTTGCTAGTTTTGTGTTTCCTTGAATTGAATCCCAGTCTAAGGATAAATATTTGCTGCTGCCAAAGTAGGACTTTGAAGAGGCAGCCAGAGGATGTTTCTCTGCAGGGCAATAACTGGGTGTGAAGGGCTTCCAGTTTTTTGTGGTGGATTACAGTCTCGGGGAAGACGCTCAGAGATAGAAAATCCTGATCAGAACAGGGGGTTGGAGTCAAGAGAGAGAGGCCAGTAGGGACAGGGTCAGTTGAATGTTGGAGCAATGATGTTTGATAATGAGTTTCAATTTTCCTTTTCTACATCGTGATTTTCTTAATACCTTCAGATGTTTGCTACCAAGGTCGGCAAGCAGGTCTGTCAGTATGACTTGGGTATGAAAAGGAAAGCTTTCTGTGTTTAGACAAAGTAATGCTAGGAACAGAGTGTGGGAACTGGTTAGGATCCTGTTCTGTGGGAAATTGTTCCTTAATGGTAAGGGGACCAGCAACTTCTCTGGAGGAGTAGTCTAAAGCTCAGAAGAGTGACAGTCTTCGTGGCAATCAGGCTTTGTAAGCATTCTCAAGAATCCTTAGATATGTTGGGGAGAACTGGCTAACTTACAGACACGCAGGCTGAAAGCTTGAGGTATTTTGTTTGGCTCTTCAAGGCTAGCAATTTGGAGACATTGGCTTATACCCATATCATGAAATTCTGTTCACTTAAAATATTGATGTTCATTCTATTGGTTGTAATAAAGTCTACCATATACTTCTATCCATAAATTATTAATCATTTTCCCACTGTTGTTGGCTCACAACCCAGCACCAAGAGAATACTTACAAAATAACGCAAATGCTTGGGGCCCTCAACGCCAGCCTTCATGGAGTGGTGATTCATTATTTCCCAGTTGAGTGCACCAGGTGGCGCCGGTGTCACAGGAATACCCACAAAGAACACGGTCCTGGTGTATTTTTACCACTTGGGGTCACTTAAGGATTACCCGACTTCCTTTTTTTTTTCATCTGAGCAAATCACAGAATCAAAGGAATTATTTCCCATTACATTTGACAGAGGCTGTGGTCTTTTTTCTGGATCCTGAGGGCCAAGAAATGAGCATGAGGGTTTTGTTTTTCTGTTGAGTTGGCCCCATGCAGTTTGTGCTCCAGTGTGTTCTCCTGTCACAAAGCACTTGCACATCCACCACACCAGCTTGCTCCTGGGCTCAGCACTGGGGACTTCTGTACAAAGAACTTCCACACTTGTCAAAATTGCCTTTATGCTAATTGCTGTGCTCATTAACATCTCCAGAACTTGGAATGCTTTTTCTCAGTCATTTCCTTTGATTGTGCCTGTCTCTGAAAGCCCAGATTGAATGAAATCAGGTGGAGGATCATGTCAACAAATCACTGCTGCCTGCTAGTCTTTCTGCCACTTACACAGTGGCCCAGGCATTACGGCATTGCCCTTCAAGAGCATGTTGGAGATTTGTGGAATGGTCTTCAACTGACTTTGCCTGCTTGGGGGTGGGTTTGGGTGGGGGGTGAGGGCAGGATGTGTGGGCTTAGACCAAATCATGAATCTCATCACTTCAAATAGTAGCTCATGGCTGCTTATTTGAAAAGCATAAGTGATGATTGGACATCCCAAGTGATAGTCTTCCACAATCTCCCCGCTAGCCAAACAGGGAGATTTGGGATTTTGGATTAAGAGATACTAAGTGGAAAAACAACCAGACATGATCTGTCCTTCTGCCTTCTGCTTTTCTCCAAAAAATAGCTTCTTGGGTGGGAGCAGGAGAAGACTTGAGTCACTGTTTAAGAGCAGCCTCTTCTGGTACAATTTATCCCTATGACAGGAGCTCTTTTGGCCTCTACCATTTAAGATTTGTTATTAATCCATGTCAACCCCATTCAAGTGCCTGTGATGGGCCTTGACTGTGTTTAAGTCCAGACTAATTCGGGCACTTAGGGCCCTGTAAAATCTAGTCCCAACCTTCCTATTCCCCATATTCCTCAGTTCATATCAAATCTGGACTCCTTACTCCCCTCCATATATAACAATGGATACAATTTATTACCCTTTGCTATATCAGGTACTGTTCTAAGTGTTTACCCATCCTAACTCAATCCTCACACCAACCCCAGAAGACAAATTTTATTGGTGTTCCCATTTTCATAGATAAGGAAACTGATGCACCAAGAAATTAGTGATTTGCTGAAGATCACATGACTAGGAAGCAGTGGAGCCTGAATTAGAATCCTGGCACTTGTCCACTACTCCCTGCTCAGTCCTGCTGCTGCTCAAAGACCTCCCTGCCTTCTCCTGCCTGTCGAAATTTCACCCATCCTTAGGGACCTGAGTCATTGCCACCTCCCTTGTGGGGGCATGAGAACATTATGCTTTCGAGTACCAGCCACAAGTCAGATATTTTGTATTTTGTCTCATGTAAGAGCCAATGCTATCATTTTTTGCAGATAAGGAATCCAAGGCCCAGAGTAGTTAAGTCTAAGAACCCCAGGTTGAGAGTTTTGTTTTGTTTTGTTTTGAGACGGAGTTTTCCTCTTGTTGCCCAGGCTAAAGTACAATGGCATGATCTCGGCTCACTGCAACCTCTGCCTCCCGGGTTCAAACTGTTCTCCTGCCTCAGCCTCCCGAGTAGCTGGGATTACAGTCATGTGCCACCACACCCAGCTAATTTTTTGTATTTTTAGTAGAGATGGGGTTTCACTATGTTGGCCAGGCTGGTCTCGAATTCCTGACCTCAGGTGATCCATCCTCCTCAGCTTCCCAAACTATTGGGATTACAGGTGTGAGCCACCATACCTGGCCCTAGGTTGAGTTTTTTAGGCCCCAGAGCCTGTGTGTTTCTGCTCTGTTGCTCTCTCTCTAGGAAAGCCTTCTAGTACATCACCCTTTGTCTCGTCATTATACTTTATAATGCAGCTTTTAATTTTTTTCATTTTTCTTTTTCTTTTTTTCTTTCTTTCTTTTTTTTTTTTTTTTTTGAGATGGCGTCTCACTCTGTTGCTCAGACTGGAGTGAAGTGGTGAGATCATGGCTCATTGCAGCCTGGACTTCCTGGGCTCAAGTGACCCTCCCACCACAGCCTCCCAAGTAGCTAGGACTACAGGTGCATGCCACCGCACCCAGACTAATTTTTAAAATTTTTGGTAGAGACGGGGTCTCTCTATGTTGCCCAGGCTGGTCTCAAACTCCTGGGGGCTCAAGCGATTCTCCTGCCTTGGCCTCTCGAAGTGTTGGGATTACAGGTGTGAGCCACTGTGCCCAGCCTGCAGCTCTTCATTTTTAAAAACCACTGTATGACTTTTCCCCCCCTCTGTGTTTCCAGGTGGGTTAAATGCTGCTTCGGTGAAGGGTTTCTGGGTGGGCTTCTTTTTCTCTCCCTACAGTGTGCACAGTGGGTGTACAACAAATATTATGATTAGCTTTTCATAAAATGGGGAGGGTCTATCAACTTAACCTGGAAGAAATGAAAGTTCCTATGTAGATGCTGAGACCCAAAACAGAAAAACACCTAGTGACTTTTAACCCTGAGCAGGAATCACTATTCCATGGTCCTATCCAGGATAGGATGGAAGACCAGAATGACTTTCAATGGGAAAATACAGGTTTTGGTTTCTTCAAGAAAACCTTGACCAAAGCCTGAGCCTGATTTTGAGCATATGGGCCCAAAGCTCCAGTTTGCTATGACTGAGTATTCAGTGTTATGGTGGACCGACACTTGCACAGAAATATGTGAATTCATCATGGTTATTTTTGCAGCATTGGAATTGGCAAACTTCCAAGTCAAGAACTTTCTGCCTTTGCAGCTCTTGGTTATTTGAGGCTGGATGACTCACTTTGTGTAACATCCTCTTGTTTTCCTCCTTTTCCTCCCCGGGGCCCCCTCCTACCTGAGGAGATCGGCAGGGGCAGGGAGGGTTGTGGAACTCAAGCCACTGTTGGCGGCTTCTTTTCAGTTAACATTTTTCGGGGAAGCCATCTTTACCCCTCTCTTGCTCCTACCAGGCAGGTCACTTCCCTCTTCTGTATCCTCAGAACCTTTTGTTCCTTCTTTTGTTAGAGTGTTTATCTTCCGATATTTTATTTAACTGCTTAAACAATAAATAACAAATACATAATAAAATTTCCCTCAGTGTCTCTTTCTGGATAGAGTAGGGTGTTTAGGACAGGTCTGGTTTCAGTATCCTCAGTACCTGGGGCAGATCTGGCTGAGAAAAGGTGATTTGGTAAATGTTTGTTGAGTTGGAAGGAAGTTTAGATGAGTGGACAGGTAAATTACCACCAGAAACTTTTGTGAAGGGATTTTAGACACCAGCCAGCATAATTAGGGTGAGAAGTTATGATTTGTTAGCTAGTTAATTTTTCTTTTTTGGGCGGAGATCTGCATATCCTGAAAATTAGGCCACAGAAGTAGACAGGTTCTAAGCCTTGTCTTTCTCTTTAAGTAGGGTTTGTGTTTTTCAGGCTGAAGTAATGCTGGCTTAAGCCAGGACAACCTGGTTACTTTAGAAGGAAATCTCCTCACCACCACGGTGCTGCACTCTCGTCAATTCATTCTGAGACACAGTAGCAACACCCACAGGTGGAAGGCTGTGCCTCGGGGCTTTGCACTCTTCATCTCCTCTGCAAGTCAGGAATATTTATTTTACTTGATGGAAACAGATTCAAAGAGATGAGGTAACAACTGAATAGTAGTACTTGGAGACTTCAATACACTGCTTTCAATAATGGATAGAACAACCAGATGGAAGATCAGTAAGAAAAGAGAAGACGTGACCAACTCTATAGACTGACTAGACCTAACAGACATCTATAGAACACACCACCCAAGAGCAGCAGAACACATATCCTTCCCAAGTGTACATGGAACATTCTCCAGATAGACCCTATGTATAGAAGTCAATAACAGAAAGAACTTTGGGAAATTTACAAATATGTGAAAACTAACAGCATACTACTAAACAACCAGTGAGTCAAAGAAGAAATCACAAGGGAAATTAGGAAATACTTTGAGATAAATGAAAAAGGAAACACAACATAGGAAATCTTATGGGAAGGAGGTAAAGCAGTGCTTAGAGGGAAATGTATAGCTATGAATGTCTATATTACAAAGGAAGAAAGATCCCAAATCAATAACCTAACCTTCCGCCTTAAAGCATTGGGGGAAAGAAAAAAGAACAAACTAAACCCAAAGCAAGCAGAAGGAAGGAAATAATAAAGATTAGAGCAAACATTAATGCAATAGAGAATAGAAAAACAGTTGAGAAAATCAACAGAACCAAAGGTTGGTATGTTGAGAAGATCAACAAAGCTGACAAACCTTTAGCTAGAAAGAGGTGAGGTAATTTTCCCAAGGTGACTCCAATAGCAAATCGCAGAGCCAAGATTCCAAAGTAGGACTGTCTGATGTCAAATCTGGGGTTGTAGCTTTGTCTCCCACCTGGACTAGGAGTGTCTCGAGGATCAGGAGCTTGTCTTACTCATCTGTACATCCCCAGTGCTTTGCTCTGTGCCTGGCACACGTAGGGGCTCAGGAAATATTTGCTGAAGTAAAATGAAAAGTAAACCTCCTCCCCACCCTTAGCAACCATCTGTGTGAGATGATAAATTATGCTTCCAATGCAGATCGAGCTGAATTGCACTATTTCTGATGAGAAAAGCTGAAAACAGCAAACTGCTTGTCCTTAAAAATAAACCCTTCAGCTTCAGAGATTTGGCCCAGAAATGAACCGTGTTATAGCTCAAGCCCTGAGATTGAGTTTATTACCCTGGAGCCAGGGGTGATGGAGTTTGTGACTGGAGAGAGAAACTCGATCACCTTGACCTGGCCCCTGGATGCACAGTGCAGGCTGGTCTGCCCTTGTTCCCTGTCCTGGGCCCCGGAGGCTGAACACCACTCACAGGAAGGTGAGTGGTGTTTCATATCATAACCACTCACCCTCTGACTCCACTCAGAGGGACAGCTGATCCCACAGAGCTCAAGACACTGAATCTTGTCCACAGACCGATAGAACAAGGGTTCAGCGATGGCTTCCCAGCTGAGTCAGACCAAGCCAGACCACATGGAGCCTAGCTTCCTGATATTTCATAAGGGGTGAAATGTAAAGAATGTTCACTTTCATTAACCCAAGGACATGTCGATATGTCCTGAAAGGCTGGGAGGAGAAAGTGATCCCAGGTAGATTCTAGAGCAGGTTGCTACCACATGTTCAGGCTGGAGTGACATGGTCAGCTGTCCTGGGGGGTAGGGGAGGACACAGACCCTTCACCAAACGCCATCTCTTCTTGATCTCACAATGGCTCTGTGAGGAAGGCAGGGTGCAGGTGGCTTGCCCATTTTTCAGAAGGACGAGATGAGGCCCTTAAAAGTTGCCCTACTCACAGCTGGTAGAAAAACGAATCCAGTTTTTTGGACTCCAGCATCTTTCTGCCCCCTCCCCACCCGCCTCCCACCTCCTTGGAGGCTTGCGGGGCTTTGTATACGTTTCCCACAAAAAATCTGGGCTGCTGGGTGGGACGCGGGTGCTGTTCACATTCGTATGTGGTTTTCCCCGGCTTATATGCAACAGCTTCTTTTTCTCTTAATTTAAAGGTGACTCTTCTGGAAGCCCCCAAAGTGGAATTGACGCTAAATTGAAAAGAAGATCTTTCTAGGGCAAGAGCTTTGTTCTCGTGAATTTTCTGCCTCACCAACCATGGGGAATGTGAGCTGGGGGGGAAAAGTCTGTTAAAGCTGGTCATTCATTTCAGGGGGCCGAGGAGCTGTTCTGAAGGAGCAAAGTCTCCTCATGCTCTTGGCCTTTTGATCTACTCAGGTTCTGTGGCAGGAAGACAGGGAGGGATCCCTGATCACCCACAGCCCTCCCTGCTGCTGTTGAGGCAGCATGATGATGCGGGATGGAGCCGGAATTAAAAATAAAAAAAATATAAGCTTGAATTCTACTTTAACATGAACAACCTCTAATATCATAAAATGAGTACAATAATATTTTTTCCCATAGAAAGTGATGAACTGCCACATGTACTTTAACCAGTTGTAAAATGTCTTCTTCCCTGTATATGTGTCTCCAGCTGTATGCCACCACAATATCTGGCACACCTGCACTGTTCCAAATGTTGGGTTTAAAAATTTCATTTTATGATTAGAATAAAATAGAGAAATAGTATCAATGAATGTTAATATAGCATTTAGTGACACAGCAGTTAGGATTAAGTTCAATTACATACAGCAGTGCACTCAAAATATGGTGGCTCAAATACAAAGGATTCATTTTCTTCTTGATATATAAAAGGTGTATTTGGGAGTTTTCAGATAGGGTATAAACAAAAAGAAAAAAGAAAAAGAAGGTGTAGAGGCAGGCAGTCTGGAGCTAGGAGCTAGTAACGTCAGCCCTCCATCATCAGAGATCCCAGCTCCTTCTGGCTTTCCACTTTTCCATGCTTAGCTCATGAAGTCCATCCTCAGAGATGCCGCATGATCTCGCTTGCTGCTGGAGCACAAGCCATCGCATCCGCATTAAGGACAGCAGAAAAGAGGAAAAAAGAGAAAGTCGAAAAGGAGCTCCCTTTCTGGTTGTCTTCCTTTTAAAAAGTCTTCCCAGAAGTCTGATGCGACAACTTCTATATACAGCTCATTAGCTAGAACTTGGGGCCACATCTCCTCAAGAGAGGCTAGAATATGTAGGGGTTTTTGTTTTGTTTTGTTTTGTTTAAGTCTGGGAAGATTGGGGTTCGGTGTCTAAGCCAGAATGGAAAGTTGGATGTTGAGGAGGCAACTAAAGGTCTCTGCAGCATACACGTTACGTAAATATGTGATGATGTGTTTGTGTGAATCTCATGTCCAGGCATGTGCATTTTTCTCACCAAATTTATTCATTCATTAGTCATTTACTCTTCATGGAATCTGCTTGCAAAGCACTGGACTGGGTGCCATGCACACATAAATGAAGAAATGAATACCAGGCCCCTTTCTCCCTAGTGCATGGAAGCAGATGGGAGAGCGGGTGCAAGTAAGAGTCACAGTGCAGTGACAGAACGAACACAGAGGACCCAGAGCTCCTGGCCCAGCCTGGGGGTTCAGGGAAGGCTTCTAGGTAGAGGTGACAATGGTGAGCCTTGAACGATGAGTAGGAGTTAGTATCTAGAGATAGGAATGCTGGCATAATTAAGCAGGTGTGTGTCAACTAATCCGCTTTGCTAGCATGCACCATGACAAAAAAAATTCTCAGAAAGACCCTCTGAGCAATTCCTGCTTCACTAAGTTGGTACGAAGAGTAAATGAGAGACTTTGATTTGCATCAATCTAGGGACCTTCTGATTACAAATGACAGAAACTTCAATTCTGTCTTAGGCAGAAAAGGGAATGTATTTGCTCACATAATGGAGAAGCCCAGACTCAGGCCTCAGATGGCATTTAATCCAGGGTGTCACGTGGTGACAATGTAGCTTGGTTTTGCTGCCTTCGGGATTCCCTAGTCCACGGCTCTCTGTGTTGGCTTTATTCTAAGTCTCAGGCTCAGAACTTTTGAGTCCAGCAAAAACTGAGAGCTGCTCTTGTAGAAGACCCAGGATATACTATGACAGTTTGAAGAGTTGGATCATATGCCCAGTCATGATCAATCACTCTGGCTGGGGGAATTAGGTGTGCAATTGGCCAGACCTAGGTCAGATGCTTACTCTGTCTGTAGAGCTGGGAGCCCCACTGGAAACTAAAAGAATGAGGCTGGAAGATGGTCCCTGAAAGGGGTTTGGAGAGCTGTGGCTAGAGGAAAGGGGTGTGGAGACTGGGTGGCCAAACAACACATATCCACTGCTATTAGATATTGGTCGGTATGGAAGGTATTGGTATGGACATTTACAGATGAAGATGATAAGGTTCAAAGAGGTTAGATAACCAGCATCCACAGCACTGAGTGGCAAGTGATGACTGGATCCCTGGTTTCTTTGACTGCAAATCTTATGCTCTTGCTACCCACTGCTACCTGCCAGCATCACACTGTTGGATCCCATGCAGTTCCATGACTTGGTGGTAGGGGCTGACCTGCCTGGATTCAACTGAGTTATTTGCCAGGGCAGCCATGGTCAGCCAACTCCTGGCATGAAATAGACACTTGAGGGCCAGGTGCGGTGGTTCATGCCTATAATCCTAGCACTTTGGGAGGCCAAGGAAGGCGGACAATCAGCCTGGGCAACATGGCGAAAACCCATCTCTACAAAAAATTAGCTGGGGGTGTGAGTGTGGTTGCCCACGCCTGTAGTCCCAGCAGGGCTGAGATGGGAGAATCGCCTGAGCCCGGGAAGTCAAGGCTGAAGTGAGCTATGATCATGCCACTGCCCTTCAGCCTGGGTGATGGAGTGAGACCCTGTCTCAAAAGAGAAAAAGGAAAAAAAGACACTTGATACATCATTTCGGAATGAATAAATGACACTGTCCTCAGTCTGTGCTGGAAACTGTAGTACAGAGTGTGGGGCTGAAAATCACGAGCTTGTTTGAATTCCATAACGTCACAAGAGAAACAGGAAAAGTGAAATCTGCCCTTCTTTTCAAGAACAATGGCCATTGCTTGACATTCTTTGAACTGTCAGCAATGCCACTTCACCTCCTTTCTGGGGTGCATTTTGCATGTGCTGCTCAGCAGGGCCACGGTGGCTGCCGATGAGGAGCTGTCGACAAGAGGACTAGCACAACTGGAAACTCCTTTGCATATTTCCATGTCCTGGGCTCTGGCCTTCACGTGGTTGTCACTGGACTTTATTTATAAGACAGCATGAGACAAGTGGCCCTCCCATGCTCACACAGCTGCTGGAGTCCCAGCTCAAATGTGGCATTCGAGACTCTGATCTGGCCCCCGCTCAACTGTCAACTGCCATTCACTTGGTCATTCTGATTTTTTTTTTTTTTTTGAGATGGAGTCTTGTTCTGTCACCCAGGCTGGAGTGCAGTGGCGTGATCTCCGCTCACTACGAGCTCTGCCTCCCAGGTTCACGCCATTTTCCTGCCTCAGCCTCTGGAGTAGCTGGGACTACAGGCGCCCGCCACCATGCCTGGCTAAGTTTTTTTTTTTTTTTTTCGTATTTTTAGTAGAGACAGGGTTTCACTGTGTTAGCCAGGACGGTCTTGATCTCCTGACCTTGTGATCTACCCACCTCAGCCTCCCAAAGTGCTGAGATTACAGGTGTGAGCCACTGCACCCAATCACCTTTTTTTTTTTTTTTTTTTTTTGAGACAGAGTCTTACTCTGTCACCCAGGCTGGAGTGCAGTGGCGCCATCTCGGCTCACTGCAACCTCCACCTCCCGGGTTCAAGCGATTCTCCTGCCTCAGCCTCCTGAGTAGCTGGGACTACAGACCCGTGCCACCACGCCAGGGTAACATTTGTATTTTTAGTAGAGAAGGGGTTTCACCATATTGGCCAGGCTGGTCTTGAACTCCTGAGCCCAAGTGATCTGCTTGCCTCGGCCTCCCAAAGTACTGGGATTACAGGTGTGAGCCACTGTGCCCCGCCAGTAAATATTTTTTAAAACTCTAGTGTGTAGTCAGCAATTCCATTTCTGGATCTCTAACCAAATGAATTGAAAGCAGAGACTCCAACAGATACATGTCCACTGATGTTCATGACTTTATTCACAATAGCCAAAATATGGAAACAACCCAAATGTCCATTAATGGGTGAATCGATACACAAAATGTGGTATATTTATACAGTGGAATAATATTCAGCCTTAAACGGGAATTAAATTCTGATGCAGGCTACAACACAGGCGAACCTTGAGGACATTGTGCTCTGTGAAGTAAGACACAAAAGGACACATATTGCAGATTCTGATTACAGGCGGTACTGTGGCCAAACTTAGAATGCAGAGTAGAAGTTTCAGGGGCTAGGGGCAGCGGGGAAGGGGGCTTGATGCTTAATGAGTACAGAATTTCTGCGTGGGAAGATAAAAATGTTCTGGAGATGGACATTGGTGATGGTTGCACAACACTGTGAATGTATTTAATGCCACGGAATTGTACTTAAAAATGGCTGCAATGGTTTTGTTTTGTTTTATTTTATTTTTATTTATTTATTTTGAGATGGAGTCTCGCTCTGTCACCCAGGCTGGAGTGCAGTGATATGATCTCGACTCACTGCAACCTCTCCCTCCCAGGTTCAAGTGATTCTCCTGCCTCTGTCTCCTGAGTAGCTGGGACTACAGGCGTGCGCCACGACACCCAGATAATTTTTTGTATCTTTAGTAGAGAAGGGGTTTCACCACATTGGCCAGGCTGGTCTCGAACTCCTGACCTCAGGTGATCCACCTGCCTCGGCCTCCCAAAGTGCTGGGACTACAGGAGTGAGCCACCATGCCCGGCTGGCTACAATGGTTTTTAAAAAGAAGTTCTAAGAATGAAATGAAAGTTTAAAACAAACCAAAAAACAAAGAACCATTGTGATGAAAATGTTCCAGTATTGATGGTGGTGACAGTGGCTCTGGGTCTCCATGGTGTCAAAGTCATTCCCAGCTGATCCTAGACACAGAGTCGCCTTCCCCACAGCAGCATCATCCAGCTTGTCCCGGATGGGCAGGGCCCGTCACTTCCCACCAGCACTAGCCCCGGGATGGCTCTCAGGCTGAGGGTGCAATAGCTCCCGGGTGTCATATGTGCCACCTAGTGGGCATTTTCAGGTCAGATACGGTATCTGTGAATTCACTAAAAACTGTTGCGCTGCACACTTGAAATGGTGAACTGTATGGTGTATACATTATATCTCATTAAAACTGTTGCTGAAAAACCCCTGTGTGCTAGGCCCCTTGCCAGGTGGTGGTTAGCTAGACCAGCACCCTGGCTTCTTCTGGGACTTGGAATTTTAAGGTAGTCCTTCTGACCTGAAAATACCCGCTAGGTGGCAAATAGAACACCCAGGAGCAACTGCACCCTCAGTGCCGGGAGCCATCCTGGGGGCTAGTGCTGGTGGGAAGTGAAGAAAGACGAGCCCGGCACCATCTGGGACAAGCTGGATGCTGCTGCGGGGAAGGTGACGAGGAAGCCAACTCCATCTCTGGGAACAGACAGGAATGACTTTGACATCGTGGAGACCTGGAGCCATTGAAATGGGCTGTAATGTCAAATGCAGTGGTTCACACCTGTAATCTCAGCACTTTGGGAGGCTGAGACGGAAGGATCGCTTGAGTTCAGGAGCTTGAGACCAGCATGGGCAACATGACAAGACTCTATGTCTACAAAAAATACAAAAAATTATCCAGGCGTGGTGGTGTATGCCTGTGGTCCCGGCTACTTGGGAGGCTGAGGCAGGAGGATCACTTGAACCTGGGAGGCAGAGGTTGCAGTGAACTGAGATCACGCCACTGCACTCTAGCCTGGGCAACAGAAAAGAAAGAAAGAGAGGAAGAGACAGAGAGAGAGAGAGGGAGGAAGGGAAAGGGAAAGGGAAAGGGAAAGGGAAGGAAGGAAGGAAAAGAAATGGGCTTTCGAGCCTAGAGAATATAGAGAATGGAAAAGCTACCTTGACCAGTG